GATGCCAGGAAAACATCACTTACGGGGTTCAAATAAACACCCCAAAAAAAAAATCGGCTCGCCGCTTCGCGGCTCGTGGACGATGCTCTGCATCGTCATTATTTTGGTCAACCCCCCTCCTTAGCAAAAAGCTAGATCCGCCCCTGAGTCATCCCCCCCAGGTGTACGAACCTGTCTACGCCACTGGAAATAGGAGAGAAAGGGAAAGAAAAAAAGAGAAAGAAGAAAGGTAGGGGAGATCAGTTACGTGTAGATCGGGGGGGGGGGGGGGGGTGGGGCACTGGCGTACTGATGGGGAAGGGGACTTGGGGGGGGGGGGGTTGACAGATGGCCCCCAAATATAATTCAAACGTGGTTTATTTCTAATTCGATACCGGTGATTACCGGTGATTTACAAACGTTGCTGAAATGACATAATTTTCTGAGATTTTTCCTCAATGTTTAATAAATTATACTTTCTAATGCGTTTGTGGGACAATGGCAAATTCATAAAGAAAGAAAGAATAGTGACGCCAATTAGTGTCCTGCCAGTGTCACAAATAAGGTATGCTGATATGCTCATCTGACCGCAATTAAATGCCAATACCCCTGAGCTTCTGGGGGTTCCACCCTTGACCCCCGCAGGTTCTTCGCCCTTAGACACCACGCCAATTTCACAACGCTCTACTCGATCGTAAATACCTCCCCCCCCCCCCCCACCTACTTTAATAGAGAAACGTCTAGCGGAACCTGCATGTAAGAGTGGGGTGGTGCAGATTTTTTTGTCTACCCCCCCCCCCCCCCCTCCCGGTTTTTGCTCATTTTGCCACTGCCGGTGTCACTATTATGTACCAATATTTGGCTTGCATAATTTCAAATTTGAGCCCCCCCCCCCCCCCCCCCCCCCCACTAAGAAATCCTGGATCCGCGCCTGTTCACAGGTAGTCCAATTAATTACTGGTCTGTAGGCCTAGGCCTCAAATTTTCTAGGCCTACTCTCGTAGATCTACTCGTCTATCTCGGTATCTGGTCCAAATTTTGGCGCTTGTTCACAACTCAACTGTGACCATGCTTTTTAGTGTTAGCTATTAACTTTCTTCTGACCTAACTATGAAAGTAGTTTTTCAACAGTTGGACCTAAAAGTAACAAAAAGCTTGGATCATTGATGCAGCTAGCGCTAGTGAAGTGATCTGCCTATAGACCCTATACTCGTATCTAATTTTCAGAGAGGGTCTCGCCCGAAAGTTTGGGCCAAGGATCAAGGAGTGACGATGGCAATCGAGCTGCAATAATTCTTACGACGATAAATAACGAATCAAAAGTTCGAGTGTAGATTACTCCTAAATTCATCAGATATAACCATTATAAACCACTTCACAACGTACAGACAAATCAGCAGATTCATACCTACAGCAGATATGTTTATAAATATGATTCAATTTACGAGATTTGAACGTAATTACAGCTGTACTCACCATCAAACTTTCAAAGAAAACCTCGAGCTCACACTCTGTGTGGGTGACGTCATACATTAAATATGCATGCAGCGAAAGTCTTGTCTTCAGATCAGGCAATCGTACATAAAAACTTCCATCACAGCAGGGAGGTGAGACTCACATGCCCTGATCACAGATAGAAAAATTTCTTATTAAAATAATGAGGATGATTACAGTTATCAATCATTATAACCAAATCTGCATACAAATAAGAAGGAGAATAGTGATACAGAGACTTATTTACCGCACGTAGGAGTTCTGATAAGAATGCACAAAGAACACAAAATGGAAAGGTGCCTGGAATAGAGGATAATAATATCAGTCAAGCTCATGAATATTCATATTATGGGCGTTACCAACCATTGACATTTGCATACACAATCGTTATTTAATATATAATGGAAATGCGCTTTTCATTATATATTATATAATGGAAATGCGCTGTTCATTATATATTATATAATGGAAATGTGCTTTTCATTATATATTATATAATGGAAATACGCCTCTCATTATATATTATATAATAGAAATGTGCTTTTCATTATATATTATATAATGGAATGTGCTTTTCATTATATATTATATAATGGAAATACACTTTTCATTATATATTATATAATGGAAATGTGCTTTCATTATATATTATATAATGGAAATAGGCTTTTCATTATTTATTATATAATGGAAATGTGTGTTTCATTATATATTATATAATGGAAATACGCTTTTAATTATATATTATATAATGGAAATGGCTTTTCATTATATATTATATAATGGAAATATGCTTTTCATTATATATAAATAATGAAAGTGTGAATTGTGATTATTTATAAATAATGGCAATTATATATAAATAATGCAAAGTTCTTTGTCATTATTTATAAATAATAAAAATGTGTTAAGAATTATATACAAATAAAAACGTACATTTTCTTGCATTATATGTAAATAATGGTTATTATTTGTTAAATAATGATTATATAACATATAATTTGTCTATATAATTGTTTTACAAACGGCGCCTCATATTATGGCACCCTTTTTTCTAAGAGTGTATCTCAGTTCTTTCGCATCTTTCTGCACGCGCACATGCATGCACGAGACATGCACATGACGGACAATGAAAGAGTACAAAATATCCAGTTCCTTAGGTAGACAAAGGAACATACAGCTGCTATTATGTAAAAATGTGTAGAACAGGTGTCACATGCATATTGACAGCTAGTTGCACTTTCCATCGATCCAACTTTCACTCGCACCCGAGGTAAATTCGGGTAAGAGATCAATGTTGATTTATTTATCACCTGCCGCAGCGTAATACCCAACCGTAGTTTACTCAAAATTGATACAAACGAAATTCGTACTCAATGTTGAGTCATTAATTTACTCTTTATCGAAGGTAACAAATTACTCGGGTGACGAGTACCACTAAAATCAAGGTCTTACTCCAGCTTGAGTACTGAATTGCTCATTTTGTTACTCAACTTGTTTTACTCGGCACAATTTACTCGCTGACATTAAGAGTGCAGGAAATGTTATGCAAAAGTACAGGTTTGATGATTAATTACAAATGGGAGATGTGGTAAAATCGGATGAAAGGAAAACATTATGTTATTGGTTCACGCGAGTTTTTAAGCCATTGTTAATTTTGAAATTCAGCCTTTTTGTAACTTATTATTCGATGAGCTCAAACCTGTAACATTTTATGTTAGAAATTTCAGGGACCAGGCAGAAAGATCCATACAAATTATTAATCGTGAGCATTGGTTTTGTATATACCCGGAAGTGTGAAACATTGCATTATTTATCGAATGCATAGAGAGAAAAAAAATCATATACATGTAATACCAAAACCTGCTGATATGTTATCTCTCAATATCATGGGCGTCAATCCTTACGTAATACCAATTGTTCAGAGGGGGATGATCTATTCATTCACCCCCCCCCCGAACAATAGGTATTACGTAAGGATTGACGCCCATGCTCAATATATATATATATATATATATATATATATATCAGTGCACGTAACTGCGTACATGACTTGTATTTCATTAAGCATATCACTAATATCCATATTATGTCCATAAACATGATAAACGCTGTACATTTTTAAGTTGTATAACAAAAGAAAATCATACATGTCTAGTTTGTATTAATTTTGTTATGAAAAGATTAGAGCAAGCTCCCATAATCGAAGCCGATGACTGTGCATAGCTGCCAACCCCTGCCTGGGACAAAACAAGATGAATGAATGAATGAATGAATATATCAGAGAGAAGACATCGATAAGAGAAGACAGTGTCACGATGTTTTACGTCTTTTTATTTTTTTTGTCTCGTTACATCAAAAATATTTTTCTTTATGAATTAAACAAACAATATGAGTCATTCTGTGCAATACGTTCATGATATAGTCACAATCATTTAACATTTTAAAATCAATCATGACTTGCACCTCTTTTACTTTGTTACCGACCCCACTCTTGAGGGTCATCAAGTTATGAATAAATGGAAATGTAATGCATTATTGGAACAAACGCTGTACTCTACCTTTAAAGTGCGGGTTCAAAGAAAATCAGAAATATGGCAAATAACGTACCACTAGAAACTGGTTAACCACTTGATGACCATCGTACAAGTTTTAGGTCAACTACATATCGGGTAGTTTTTAAAAATACAAATAAAACCACCTCCATAGCATCTGGGATATGCGAGAGATTCGTCAAAACAGTAACGATGTTTTAATGCCGTCACCATGAATCAATCCTGCCCAAGCAGACGACATACCATAAAGAATGAATATAATTGAAATGCTATTTTTTCTCAAATTATAGTGAGTTTAGGGTATAGAAACGTGATGGAATTTTACACCATTCAAAAAGGAATATGAAACCAATTCTGATACTAAATTCTTTTGTGTGTACATACACAGGATAGGGGTTAATGAACAATCAAAGAAACCACACTTTCAAATTTAAAAAGTCCCGGAATGATAGCATGGACGGCATTTGTTCCCTCTTGAAACGCCGAACATAGCGCGGTTTATGCAGCTGAAAATACAATGACGTCTTATTTTGTTTACAATGACGGATTCCTTTAGTTTGTTATCCTTGCATTTTTCATCAAAATAATATACCATGCGCGAGGTTTAGAGTGAGGCTATAGATTTAACATTTAGCCTGACGGTAGTGAAGTAAGAGAAATAACTGAAGAGAAGATGACAAAACAGGCACTGAAAATGTATGAGATGTCATGGGGCATCGTCTGCTTGTGCAAATCATGTTCAACATAATAATAATAATAATACATGAGATTTATATAGCGCCATTATCCATTTTAATTAAATGCTCAAGGCGCTGTGACGCAACCCATCTCAGCAGTGTTCGGAGAGCTCTTCAGGTGCTATGCCGGGGCTGTATTTAAGCGTTTTGTAATTGATAATAATCATTACTTCGAAAGTTTCCAAGCATTGAATTTTGATAACCTTGTCGAATCAAAATGTTACCTTTGCAATAATGACAATAAAGTTAGTTTTTAAAATCAATGAACATTCTCTTTTAGAGTATGACAAAAGGGTGTTGAACAACAGTTTGTGGGGCGTGGTTAGAGTGGGCGTATTCCTTGTGGTTTACATAAAACCAACTCTTTGGCTTCAGTGAGATCAAAATTATTTAAATGTATAACAACAACAAAATCATCCTAAGGCAATATCAGTGGCCTTGTTCATCATCCTTCGAAAAGTGTATAATGGTGTGACTATGATTTTATTAATGGGATATATTTAGTTTATTTGTCGAAAAAATTTGCCATCGTGTTCTGAAATCGGTCAACATGCATGGAGTAACGTCGAAGGATTTCCAGGCCATTGTCACCTCCCATCATCTTGCTTCTCATATCTCAGGCTGATTTATAAACAAGACGTACGGTAAATAGTTTATTTCAGCGATTTCTAAATCAATTTACAATCTGTATTTCTTATAATAACGCTTTAATCCATTCAATGTGTGTTGATTGTGTCAAGTTGATAGCGTGTAATGATCGGACGAGTGATTGGGAGGTTTTATTCTCCTTGTGTATGATCATTATAAAGCCGTCACCGCTGCGTTTCTTACAAGCCTGTTAGAGAAAATGAAAAATATAAGAATATTTAGGTTTGTTGATACCAATTTCTCTTTAGTCGACGTTTATATTCATATTCATTGAATATCTATAAGCATTTACTATCAAAGTATTAAAGATTAATAACTTTCGTTACTCTTTGTTGGATTTTTCAAAAAGTATTCACTTACTTTCTTTGATTTTCAGCATTAGCCAAAAATGAACTTGATAACAAGTTTGAGTACTATAAATTCTATAGGGAAAGAATAATCACGGGGATAGAAAACGGTCATCATTGGTCAAATCTACACAGTATATTTTGTTCGATTTTCGAGAAAAAAATGGTCTCCAGAATGATTCCATATGCACCCACTACCCTCTGTAACGTTATTGTTGTACTTTGTACTAAAAGTATGGCAAAATGAATCACTTGTCATTATTACTTTGAAGTTGTGATGTGAATGTAACTACCAAGCTTACCTGTAGTGTTGCACGGAGTAAAGCCTTGCCTAAACCTTTGCCTGCAATAACAAAAACAAATACAAGAGAAAAGTCATGACGTGGAAACGGTAATATTGCCAAGTTCAGATTGCACTGACCACGATTTCCTGGCAGAACATCATTTTGTCTCTTTTACACTTAATATTTAAAGCCTACCTTTAAGGTCAGTCATAGAGGGGTATACGGGCTATGAATCGACGACAATCAGGATTGACCAATTAAATAATGGACTCGTATGTCCATAATCAAATAATAATATATGCATTTTTTCTTTACTTTCTTTCTCCCAAACATGTAAAAATCCGTGTGTTAGTTATGAACGGACTTCATTTTCGATCAGATCTAGATAATTGTTTAATAAAGCAATCACATCTCCTGCTATCTAACCCTCCAATGTAGTAGAACAGATCATATTTTCACTGATTATAGGCTATTATCTGAGGTCATACCTTTTGTTAATATAATTAAGTGTTTGTGAGAGACAGGTGGACAAAACATGGCACACATCATAGAGGGGCACGGGGGCACATCCCTACATTCTTTTCAAATAAAGGACAGGTATAAATCGTATAGAGGATTATTAGACACCTTCGTCACTCTCCCATCACTTAATGGTTCTCTCGTATTTCATCCACCACAATGGTACCTTTAATTTGCCCCTTTTACGAAGAGACATTCGCTACGCCACGGATAGTATCTTCCAATTCTACATGAATGTAGTATTTTGACAATTTTGTAAATACTTGTATATTGAAGATAGTCCAACATTTGGGGTTCTATTTCAATGAATTTGAATATCAAATTGTTAGTAGTTAAATAAAGGTAGTGTTAAATTAGAACTAGGAGTATCAATATTATAGAGCCATTACCCTTCTGCGCCGGCTTGAGATAGATGCCTTGCAAGAAATATGCCTGCCCTATTAAAGCATAGTACATCTTAGAGTAGAGCAAACAACCCACGATGTCCAGGACGACTTCGCTCTCTTCATCCTGGTCTTCGACACGATGTCGATGTTCCACGATGACGGACCCGTACAGTGCTTTGTCGGCTGAACCGTCGCGTTCGAATTCTGAGAAAGAAAAAAGAAAGATACAGTAAATCAATTTGTCATTCTTTCTATCTTTTTAAGAATGACAGAATGAATTTTATCATGAACTTTGGGCACAAAATTAAAAACATATCTATTAGGTATATGGCAATAGGAGACAACTTAGCCATGTTTAGAGAGACATTTGATTATAACACATGATTTGAATGCTATAACTGTCCTTGCCCGTACGTTGTCAATTTACTCCATTTTGTTAAAATGATTTTCATCACCTTCCCTGATCCTCCGCCCTTATTAATGCAATAAACTACGTACATGTTCTGTAATATTAACATGACTTATTCACATAATTGCGACTTAATCAATATTTTCCTATTGACATTACTGTTTACTAGGTTAATGATATAATATGTATAAATTTGCATTTTTTTTTAACTGCTTGAATAAACGTTATAAACGATGTAAATATGTTCATGTTTATGCAGGGCCCCATGGAAAACCACTACTTGTAGGTGAATGGACTACCCTGTCAAAAGATTACAAATAAATAAATAAATAAATAAATTTGATGCCAAAGTGAAATTCTCTTATTGTTTGTATTGAATGACGTAAAATTAAGCATTGAAGGGTTTCACAGATATCGACAGCACCATTTAGTGTAGAAAGCATATTCCTCTTCTGAAGGGCCTTATAGTCGTACACAAAATCTCATAAACCTACCACAAAAGTACCCCCCCCCCCTCCTTCTTTCTCAAAATCGTTACCGTCATCATGACCATCACCGTCATCAGTCAATATTAATCATCTTCATAAATACATATGTTATTTCCATTCACACTTTTTCCTAAAAATAAAAACGTTTCATTTGCCTTTTCACCTTTTATTTTGTTTTTTGTTGTTCCTTGCTTAACTTGCGTCATTTGCCTACCTTCTTTGCTGACTTTGAAAAGAGCACTAAGATTCTCCATCTCAATCAACTCTTCGAGGAGATGATAAATATTGCTTAGATCTTGTTCTGTGCCGTCACGGATTATATAATCGTCACACTGTAAATACATGCATGTATAATGAGATGGAAGGACGAGGAGAGAGATGTGAGAGTGAGAGTGAGAGAAAGAGAGAGAGAGAGAGAGAGAGAGATAGGGGGAGAGGAGAGAGAGAGAGAGAGAGATATGAGAGTGAGAGTGAGAGAGATGTGAGAGTGAGAGTGAGAGAGAGAGAGGGAGAGAGAGAGAGGGATAGAGAGAGAGAGAGATTTTCTATATTCTTAAAGAAATTGCATTGTACAACGATTCTCATTCATTAACAAACTATAGAGAGTTATGAATAGAAACATTACAATAATATTTAATTAAAAGATCACAATGCCGCTACTGAACTTGAGGGTAATGAACTATTCGAATTATGTCGATTACATTTATGTAAAAGCTGTTCAGAGGGGTTTGACAAGCTTTGAACTGTACTTAATTGAAATTAATTAAACATCACATCCTTTCCCTCTCCACCAAATAAATTTACATGCGATTATTTTCTAAAAATTTACAAGAAAAGACAGAAAAGAGAGTGATAAGAATTTAAGCTTAATTGATTACAACATAAGATTTGGTTGATGAGGTCGCCATGGTTACCTTTTGAGTGGATGTTGAAGGTGGATTTGGCATGATCCAGACATCCATCTCAAGACTACTGGTTAGACTGATCATACCTTCATGTTCTAAGGCTTTTCTATATGAGGCGTTCAGTGGTGTTAAAACAGTGAACATATTATCAATATCTGCATCTCGAGACATCTACGAAAGGGAAAACAAACATCGACAATTCATCTTTTAGTTACCAGGAGGACGTTATATCGACGAGACCGAGAGTAATACACCAAATTATAAATAAAATCAAATTACGACACTTTTCGATGTTTATTTGTTGGTGTTTATTTTTTAATTAACAATTGGCTAAGCCTGTACCTTGAAATTTAGTTGAAAATTCAAGCAAAGAATGTTAGTGACATCTGTTGAAAACAAAAATCGTTTGGCCCAGTAATATCGAAATGAAAAAAATGAAGTCACAGATTTCGTGATAACTTCTGGAACGAATTAGGTATCAAATTAAGCATTATACTGTCATTGTGCTACTATTTCAATTAGAAATTAAAAGTTTGTGTATTTCTAATGCTGGAACAGTTACATGAACACGATCTTGATGATTTGCAAAAAATCAATCCATGTGAGTAGCACTGTCCGTCGCCTACTAAAAATTAGGGACTTTAAGATTTGCATGGACTGATACGTGTGACGTCCATTCAAGGCAGTGCATTAAAAGGACGTCGATCGTAGCAATCCACCTTTGTCTTCGTGCAAATCTAAAAGTCCCTAGTGCGAACATTATAACGACGTGTTACGTAATCCGAACATAATTTCTATGGGATACCAGAGGGAATTGATCTGCTCTTAGATTTCTCGAAGCCTTGCGATCGTGTAAGTAGGCCTATAAGATCTATGAAGAGATATGAATATTTAAATACCACCTCACCTCAAGAAAAGATTCTAGACAGTTTTAAAGACATACCAATTAATTTCAAACTATTAAACAAGATTCAAGATTTATTTATTTCTTTCCACTTGCATAAAGAAAACATTTCATTCAGGAACAGTAGCAACAAGTTCATCGTCAACTAGCATAAATTCATTAACAATGAAACTGTTCTAAAGACTTAAACAAATGTGGAAAAGAGGTGGTCTGTAAAAAAGCACAGCTTGTTAGAACACGGATCACCTTTACAGGAACAACAACATATTGTTTAAAGAAGTAGATTATAATACAGGGGGAGGGGGACTAACAATACTAATCTAGATGCCTATACTGACTATAAATAAATATCAGATCTACCACTAATTTTATAGAATATGGTAGACTAAAAAAAGGAAACAGAATAATGATAAAGAAATAGTAAAGTAATAGGGGAAGGAGGATAAATGTACAACAAATGTACAATGCTAATCCCGTTACCTATATTGAATATTAATACATATCAGATCTATTCACTGTAGGTGTACAGTAGATGAAATTTAAGCTTACATTTAAAGACAGAAGAGCTTACAGACTGCTTAATAGAACAGTCTAAATAGTTCCAATACTTTGGTCCAGTATCTGCAAGTGTATTAATCCTAAGCCGAGTTCTAGCTGATGACACATGGTATAAGGCAGCCTGCCTAGTAGAGTAATTGTGTATTTGGTATGAGATATCCCAGATATAGAAAGTATATATCTTTTACCTTCATAATTTTTTTTGTAAAATAGCTTGTCAGTGTGAGCGCGCCAATCAGCTGCCAAAATAATTCTCACTGCTCTCTTTGGAATGAGCAGAATTTTATTTAAGTAGGATTTGGCTGAGGCACCCCAGGCTAGCACACCATAATTTAAGTATGGCAAAATTAAGGAACAGTACAACATGCTAAGTACATTTCTTGGGAATACAAACTTCAATTTGTTGATCATACCAACATTTCTAGAGAGCACTTTACTTAAATGAGTAGTAAGCATCTTCCAAGTCAATTTATCAAGTTTCTATGAGAACAGAATACACTTGTATCGTCTGCAAATAGCAAAAAAGAAAATGTCTCTGAGGATTTTGGAAAATCATTTACATATAAAATAAAAAGCAGGGGAACCAAAAGGGAACCTTGAGGTACTCCACACGTGACGGGTAACATATATATCTGAACAAATTTCACCGAGCTGCACAAAGTGTTGTCTGTTACTAAGATAACTTCTACACCATTCGAGTACAGGTCCTCTTACCCCATAATAAGAGAGCTTGTGCAACAAAATATTATGGTTCACCGTTTCAAAAGCTTTGGAATAATCCAAAAAATATACCAACCGTATGAAGGTGTTTATTCCTCAGTTACGAATCGTATATATTTCAAACCGTCTTCAGTGATGTTCATCAATCGTGAATATACTTTGTTAGTCATAATCATTGGAAATTGATACAAAGCAGAACTGCTCAGTTATCATTTAAATGTCAGACGTATATGTTATCTTTCTCTTCTGTACATTGTACATGACAATGTCTTAATGTAATACATCATTCATATTATAATCATTATAATGAATCTACATTGTTAGATGGTTAGAAGTCCCATTTGTCATAAATCCTATAAAACTAGGAGAAGGTTAGCAATATATTCAAACCAATTCCATTGAATTCAATTGATTAGAAGAAATAAAATGTGAAATTGCAATAAATTAGCGACCACTTTTGATTTTTTTTTCTGAAAGAAATATTGACGGGGAGGGGTTGATATCTCGAGTGATACCGTTAATACCGGTTCTAGATTAAAAACGTAAATCAAACCTTCTTGGTATGCTGGATCAATTTCTGCTCAAGTCCACGGTCTGTAAAGTCGAAATAAAAATATAAAAACAAATACATACAAAGTGAGCAATAATGGAGAAGGAAAGTATATGCATTGTTCATCATACAAAATGTAATAATGGTGCTATTGCAGGGGCGGGGACATTACAGGGACAGATTGTGATCAGAAAAGAGGTGATTCCTTCCAGCCCCTTTCCTTAGTAACCTTGCCCTTAATTTTTCTCGCAGCTTTGCTCCCACCCCCTCCCTCCTCCCCGGCCGCGCATATTTTGTTTACACAACTGTTCAGCCATTTTCGCGAAAAAGTTCCTAGAAGTGCTCTGGTGAAAGAGTCTAAGTCGTCCTCGCACTATAGTACGACGGCAGGCTCATAGGAAGGGAAGATGATGGGAAAGGGAAAACAAGGATAGTGGAGAGGATATGGAGAAGGAAACACAATTAAATACATAAGGAAGGAGAAGAGGATAAGTCAAAGGAAGAACATAGGAATACATAACGGAAGAGCTAAGAGGATTAGAAATTCGGGTAGGCCTATAGACTAAGGAAAAACAAAGAAATACAAGAAGGAGAAAAGGATAGATTGAAGGAGAAACAAAGAAATGCATGAAACGAAAAAGAAGAGGATAGAATAAAAGAGAACAAAAGAAATACATAACGAAGGAGAACTGAAGGATCAGAGATTGAAACCAGAGAAATTTGCAATTGCGAATACAATATTTGCAATTTTACATACAATTTGCAATTTGCGGTATCCAAATATCTTATTATTATTTTATTTTTAAAAGGATAGATTGAAGGAGAAACAAAGAAATACATAACGAAAGAGATCTAAGAGGGTATATTTAACGAAAAACAAAGACATAACGATCGAGTAGGCCTACGTACACATGTGCAGCTCGAGAAATCCAAAAATACTGCTAAGGGTAATGTTAGACTCTATCTCTAGTCGTTTCCTCAATATATTTGACTGAACTGGCTAAACAGTTGTGTAAAAAAAAATATGCGCCTGTCACCCCATAATGATGGCCATAATTCCAGGCAGTTTTTAGGGAGTAAATAATCGCGATTCTGACGATGACGATGCTAAACTTGGTGATGGTGATTGTGATTGTTATTGTGGTGGTGATTGTGGTGGTGATTATCACGAGGAGGGGATGACGGAGGGGAAGGATGAAGATGACATCGATGATGATGATGATAATGAGGAGGAGAGGGACGACGACGATGATGCTAAAGTTGATGAGAAGGAGGGGAAAGAGAAAGATAATTATGATAATCATGATGATAATGATATTAATGATGATGTTGAAGATGACAATGACGATGATGATAATGAGGAGGAGGAGAGGGATGACGACGATAATGCTAAACTTGGTGGTGGTGATTGTGGTGGTGATTATCATGAGGAGGGGGTGAAGGATAGGGAGGATGAAGATAAAAATGAAGATGATGATAATGAGGAGGACAACGACGATGATGCTAACGTTGATGAGAAGGAGGAGAAAGAGAAAGATAATCATGATAATCATGATGATAATGATATCAATAATGATGATGTTTAAGATGATGATGGTGATGATAATGATGATAATGATGGTATTAATCAAGGTAGGTCAATAATGAAACTTCTCAGTGTATGGTAATAACAATTTTATAAGAATTATTGCGCCATTATAATAAACACAATATGAACGCTTCTTACCTAGTAAACTATAAGGCGTAGTTGGTGAGTTGCAATGGTATTCCTTTTCATTGTATTGGGTTTATTATACCCGGTTATCAAGATTTTTGTTTCCTCTGATAGTCATTAACTACAGGGTTCAGTAAACAGTGTTCCAGTAATAAAAAACACATTAAAATGTATAAGTTTTATGATAGACTTTATGGCCTGATTATATTGATCTTGTTTTTCCTGTATTATTTATTCATTTATAAGTTTATGTATGCAGTTCCTTATAACATAAAACACAATACATTAAGTATTAAAAACTGCAAACATGACCATCAAGGAACAACTCGGTAGCTGACAAATAAGTTTGTTTATCGAATTTTGTTCCATACATGCAGGTACAAGAAGGAAATCCAATCATAGTCTCGTACAGCAGGTACATAAAGGATTTACAACATAATTAAGTATCCAATTGGTTAAAATCTTCTGAGTTATGATGAAAGAGAAAATGTCATACTTCTAAAAGCTGGCCTGATATAGCAGCAGTGAGGGAAAGTCGTTGCGCCTACGAGATATCTATAAAATATGGAAAAGAAAATACATCCAATGATCTGCCTCTGGTTCTCTGTTTCACCCTCAATCTCGATGACAAACGCTTTGAATAGTACTTGGTTAAAATGTTCCTCAAAACCTATGGAAGAAAAATGTTGATAACAATATAAATATTTCAGCATAGTTCGTGCGTAATTGTAACTATCATTAGAGTGGATAGTTTTGCTTCACTCACAGTCATGGAGAGTAGCCAATGTCCATTTGCATCTCCTCCTAATAATACCCATGGAGATTGATTGATCATTTGTAAATGGGATTGCATGCGAGGCGTTGCACAACATTTCAAACCAAATCCCAAATATACGGAATTGGGGCGGAAAAACTAGATATCTCCCCAACAGACTGATATCATCTATTTTTAAACGAAATTTAGACATTACCAAAAAAAAAAATCCAATGGTGAGGGATATGAACTTGTGAAAGTATTATGTTACCAATGGGCAAATGCATTAATAAGCAACCAGGAAAGGTTCAGGTATAGACAGAAATCTCTTTATTTCCTGGTGATAGAAACATACATTTTATGAATATTGATGTCTCCAAACAACATTCATCGTGAAAAACCCATTCCAATATTCTGTGTAAGGAGATCTCACAAAAACATAGTTCTCATTATTAAATGAAAAACACATTGCTTCTGGTTCTTCATTTGACTCTCTTCCTTCTTTAATTAAACCAACTGAATCCTCTCTGCGGGAAAATCAATTCAATGAAACAGAATATCACTGATGCAAAATTTTGTTTTTAAAATGACAGAAAGTTTCCACTCCTGATCTCATACAAACTGTCTGTTTCAGGGGCGGCCGAGCGACTTCCAAAGCGGGGTGTGGGGGGGGGGGGCACCAAGAAAAAAGGGCACCTACAAATGGAAATCTCAAGGATAAAATATGCATTTTTTTATACATTGGTATATACCCTTATATTTTATGAAAAGGGGATAGGTCCCCTATTAGAAAACGGGCACGTATCATTGTTAAAAGGAAAAATTATCAGAGGTGAAAAGAGGCACTTTTTGCACTTGAAAAGGGGCAATGACCACATATGAAAAGGGGCACTTATGTGAATGAAAAAGGGGCACTTATAAGAAAGGAAAATGTTCACTAGTTGAAAGAAAATGACTTTAAAGGGGCATTTATAGGAGGTGAAGGGGCACTTATCTGAAGTGAAAAGGAGTAACTTCTCGTACCTGAAAAGGGTCATTTACCAGAGAAAGGGCACTTATGAGAATGGAAAATGGACACTTATTGCAAAGAAAAATGAGAACTTGTCGAAGGAAAAGGGGCACACTACCAAATAAAAGGGCACTTATCAGAGTTAAAAAGTTGAAGGGGCACTTTTACTAATTAATAGGGGCATTTGTCAAAGTAAAAGGGGAACTATTCCTATGTAAAAAGGGGCACTTTTCCTGTGTAAAAAGGGTAACTTTTCGGGTGCGTGAAAAAGCGGGGGGCACTGTGCCCCCTCTGCCCCCGGGAGGGCCGCCTCTGGTCTGTTTCTTAAAAACATAATATAAAACTTACGTTCCAACTAACAAACAATAAACTTCCATTATCTCCTTCTTCACCCAGATATACTTATCATACCAGATACGCTCTAAAATATAAGCATAATATTCCCCTAAGGCCCTGACCAGAGCACTATTTTTTTTCTTCAAAAACTATAACCAGTCTTAGAAGGTGCATTATTATTATTCAAACTTAATAACATTCTAACCTTCAAAAACACATTAACTATCTTATGCCTGTTACGTTTGATTACAATACATAGGCCTACACCCCGGTCCCCAACATAAACAAATCCTCTGGATAGCCATGCATTATGGCTCAAGGCATGGGCACACAGAGGATTTTTTTATGTTGGGAACCGGGGTAAAATGCAATAAATTATTGAAAAATTGTTGCATTTTCTTTTTTTTTTATTTATGGAAACTGCCCCCTACCCTAGCCCCCGCTGCGTACAGTCATGGTTCAGTGACAAAGCAATGGCCTCGTAACTGTTAGGCCCCAGGATCAAAACCATGTCGATGTGCTATATTAGTGCCCTTTTGTGGGGCTTTAATCTTCATTACTGTCATTTATGACTTAAGGGCGTAGGTCCCTTATTCGATAAGCATAGAAGCATACACATGCTTTACCAGTCACGCAAAACACACATTTGCAAATTATTATTCAATAAAATCTGAGAATGTATACTTTTATCTAGATCTATTATTTTTTAATTATTTTTAAAATAATTCCATGAATTGGGGTAAAATAAAAATATTCCACCTTTATGAGCGACAGTGTACAAAAAAGAAAAAATATGTACATGTACATGTTGGAAAAACAGAAAAAATATCCTATTCTATCTAAAAAAAAGAAGTGCAGTTAAAAAGCACAAACGCTTGTGGAGCAAACCCAAGTTCATGGGCAAACACCAGAGCGACATAATTTTTTTTAAAAAGGTAGCCTAATGGTTGAGCATTAGGAAATAACGTCTAAATGAAAAGAAAACAAATACACGATTGTAACTTTTAGCGCGTTTTGAAAAATGTTTTAGGAAATATCAGGAAATAAGACGAGTGAAAAAACGAACAAATAAAGATACAATGACGTGAATTTTAAAAAGGTGAACGGAAACAACATGACAACTAGTGAACTATCTTATAAGTCATAGCAAAATGTGTATATTGATGGTCATCTTGCGAGTAATAACCATAATATACTCTGATCTGGCTCTCATCATTAATTTTTCTCTTCATTTTTTTTTAATGGTGAATTATTGGGGGGGGGGGGTGTTGGAAAAGGCCACCCCCCCCCCCTCCACCTGAAATATTGGGGGAGGGGGGATATCCTCCATCCCTCCGGGAACGACACCCATGCCTACGCCCTTAAGTCATAAGTGACAGTAATGAGGATTAATGCCTCACAACAGGACACTAATATAACACATCGACACGGTTTTGATCCTGGGGCCTCACAAGTCATGAGAGCATTAAATTATGGTAAATACAGATATCCCATAATTATGGCAATTTACACTGTAACACTGGATGCTCGGGTGACAAGAGGACTGCTTGCGATTATTATCAATGGCTATCAGGATAGATAGATAGATAGATAGTTTATTTGTTTCCACAGTATCTCATTTTACAAAGAGTGTAACAACATATTGAAAATGATTATAGTATACATTTACATACAATACCGGTACACACTATTGAGAATATTATCCATTGAGTTGAACTTAAGAGATATAGCGGCGGAGCCTTTGGAAAAGCAGAGCTTGTTGTGGATAGGCTCCTTAAATAGATAGGATAGGCTCCTTATACAAATACGCGCTAAAACAGGGAAAGGGAGATTACAGGGATACCTGACCCGATACTCACAATAAACTACAAAAGACAAGGGGAAGGAAAGGGAATATATCTGCAGCTTATTGAAACAATATTACAATGTAGTTTGTTCTCGATATGAGTATATTATAAACGTAGTTGGCATGGTCATACCGTTATTTACACATTGTAATCAACAAAAGTATACAGCTTGGAGACAAGAATAGTCAGGAATCAGGAATGACTATGTCTCGGTCGTATAATAACAACACCATGTTGCAGATGAGGCTTAAACTTACTAGTTCGTGAATTCTTGAATTCCTCCTCAAGTTCTTGTTCGATGACATACTCCTTGAGTAAATCATAGAGACCGGCTACATCGGAGGCGACGGCGAGACGAAACTCATAGCTATCCATTTTCGAGACACCAAAACAATTTAAAGCAAATAATCTGTTCTATGCTATGCCCTATAATATGGTCAACTGGTCTGTTGTTTGCCTTGTTAGACACATACTATACAAAGTCCATCATACGGATAGACGATGCAGGAAATGGATCGGTTTAAAGGGAAAGTTGAGTTCTGTTTTACAAAACATGCCATCAGTGACAAAATGACAGTTTTTGTCATAAGCTAATGAAATCCTTGATTCTGATTGGTTATCGGCAGATTTGTCACTGATTTGTGTAATTTGTTATTGAAAAAAGGCTTTGTGAAATGGGTCCAAGAATTAAGGTTTCCTCCAGAGGGTTTTCAAAAGTTTTGTAGGCGTATGTAGGTAATTGCAAGTGTATGTATTATGGGTGATATGAACGCAAGAACAGGTGCTCAAAATGATGTGATCCTTTGATAAAGACATTATTTATTTGAATTACGATTTTATCAGAATCATTTTGAGCATGAAATGGAGCCTCAAACGTTTTTCGAATGTGTTAACATCCCTTTGAATATTATGAAGAGTTTAATTCCAAAAGGAGCTAAATCCATTTTTGTAACTTGAGAGAAAAAAGAATTTCTTAACCAGGTCTTGTACAGGCGTCTATGGAAAAGTGATATTAGAAGGTGCAATTTTTTTTTTATAATTGCTCCCAAAATTTAGGTACATACTTTTGTTAAAAGACGGGCACTGAAGTAAACAACGTTCTGATATCAATAAATCAATTTTCATTAAAAGTGGATTTAGCTTCTTTGGGAATTTAACTCTTCATATTGTATTATTCTAGTTGTAAAGTGATCCATACAGCCTATGCTTTTAGTCAGTTTTTATAGACCAATAAATGAAAATAAATAAATAAATGAAATAAAAATAACAGATATGTGAATAATTACGGGAAATATTACTAACATTATGCAAAAGTCCGGGAGATGTGGTAAAATGGGATGAAAGGAGCACATTATGTTATTGGTTCACGCGAGTTTTTAAGCCACATTGTGAAAGTTGAAATTGAGCCTTCTTGTAACTTATTATCCGTGAGCTCAAACCTGTCCAATTTTATGTTAGAAATTTCAGGGACCAGGCAGAAAGATCCATGGAAATTATTGATCGTGAGCCTTGTTTTTTTTTATATACCCGGAAGTGTGAAACATTGCATCATTTATCGAATGCATAGAGAAAAAAAATCATATACATGTAATACCAATACCTGCTGATATGTTATCTCTCAATATAATATACAGTGCGTCCCAGAAAAAACGAAACCGAAAACTATCGATGTTTTATCATAACTTAATCACAATTATATACTTGGAAAGCTTAGATCCTCTTCTTTCATTTGATGCATTAAAGGCCCGGTCACACAGCCCTCCACGGGCGTATCGCGGCCGAATTACGGCCAAAAATTTCTGCCCGTGAAGCAGACGCTGTTGGACGCTTTGAGGTCGCGATAAAGACGCGATACAGCCGCACTTTACCCGTCGTTACACGCGGTAAGAAATTCACACGCGGTTGGCCGCGCGAAAAAGTTTTGGGCTGCCCAAAAATTTAGACCGCGGGTAATCGCGGGCGGTACACGTGGTACACACGCGGTAAAGACGCGGTACAGACGCGGAACGAACGTGCTAGGACGTGCTACGGCCGCGGTTAAGACGTGGTTACACGCGGAATTGGACGCGAAATTTTAACGGGTAATCGCGGGTGGAGCACGGTCATAGCACGTTTGTTCCGCGTCTGTACCGCGTTGTTATCACGTGCATTAGCGTGTGTACCGCGTGTAAGCGTGGTAGGCCGCGGTACCGCCGCGCTTCACCCGCGATAAGGACGCGGAACAGTCGCCGGCGTCTGTTCCGCGGGCATACCACTGTGCAAAAATGTGCAAAATTGGCTTACCCGCGGTTTACCCGTGGTATGCCCTTAAGAGGATTACACAAAAGGAGTATGTGTGCACAACAATTCATTCAGCTAGAATACAAAGATCACAGACTCAATGAAGTGTACAACAAGATATGCCAGAAAATGTACAGTAAAGTGAATGCAAATGGCAGAACATCAGAGTTCAGGTAATACAGAAACCAAGTACAAAAATGAAAACATAAGATACTCAACATTCAAACCAAATTACTCCTTGTAAGTTGACTAAGCTGATCCTTGACCAATAAGAACTCACTTAACAGCAACAAATAACAAAATCAAGCAATCTTTAAAGTGAAATTAGAGCAAAAACACAGAGCCTAAATGAGAGAGGCTACCCCTATGGAGGTGCACACCAAAAAAAAAAAATGTCTAGTTTGTATTAATTTTGTTATGAAAAGATTAGAGCAAGCTCTCATAATCGAAGCCGATGACTGTGCATAGCCGCCAACCCCGGCCTGGGACAAAACAAGATGAATGAATGAATGAATTAATATATCAGAGAGAAGACATCGATAAGAGAAGACAGTGTCACGATGTTTTACATCCATTTATTTTTTTATCTCGTTACATCAAAAATATATTTAATTATGAAGTGAACAAGCTACCTATGAATCAATAAATAATAATAATAATAAAGATTGATTTATTGAGCACATAATAAACCGAAGTTTCTCTATGCGCTTTACAAAGTAAAAAACAAACAAGTACAAGTATATTTAAATAGTTACAAATTAAGAACGAAATATAAAGACCTTAAACTAAAGACATGTAGCTAAGAGAATTCATTGCGAGCAAAGATAATACAGAAAGCAAATACTTATGACAAATTAATTAGAGTAGCACATTCAATTATAATACATAGATGAAAAGTAATGTCAAAAATTACAAACGAAACAGGTAAGTTTTAAGAAGGGTTTTGAAAGTCTGTCGTGTGGGAGCTTGACGGACATGCAGGGGGATGAATAAATCAGTGTATCCAACAAAGAATGTGATGTCATCATGACAATGTTTTAATACTGCTCTTCTTGAGGGGCCATGCAATAATCCTGATTACACAGCATCGGTAAGGTACCCTTGTACCTTGGTCGAGAGGGATAATGTTAGCACTGAGCGAGGATCGAACCTAGAACATCATTCTATGAACGTCAAAAGCATTCACTAATACATAACACAATCGCGAAGACTTTCGAGAAATAATGACAAAGTCAGTATTCCGTAGAAAACCATGTTCGAATTGTTTTACAAATGGCATATTTCAATAAGTAATGGCCAAGGATATTTGTGGTTGCCTCAAAATGAATTTTCGAAAATCTTTTCGATCGTCTTCAATCAGAATTAATCAGATAAGAATACACAATGTAACATTCAATTCAATTACCTTCAATTAAGTTTATTAATTTCCATAATACAAAAAAACATAAATTTGCAAAAAGTACTGTAAAAAACATCAAAATCTTTCACTAAAATAAAGATAAGTACATTAAAATGCACATGAAATAAACCGCTTATTAATTATCCTTTTCATGAAAAACCACCACTAAAATCTTCAGGTAAATTATGAACGTATCGTTTAGGGAAATCTAATACTAATTTTCGATAGACATAATAGCAATATTATACCAAAATAAGATTAACTCTAATCATAGTCAGATAACTGGTGGAGTAACGTCGAAGGATTTCCAGGCCATTGTCACCTCCCATCATCTTGCTTCTCATTGAATTTCAAAAATGTATTACTATTTATATATTGTATAAGTTCAATATATAATTTTATTGCAAATATGGTAATACAATTCATGTATAATTATGTACCAAGCAATTAGCCAAGGTCGTTGATCACAATTATATTATGTACAAAAGAATTGCAATGTTACTTCACCATGCATAGTGTTTTACGTGTAATTTTACTTTGTCACTGATGTATACCTTGTAAAAGAAACTGCAATTCGGCTCTCGGGCCGCGAATGTTTTTTTAATGAAATAAACCATTTTAAATAAATAAATTAAAAAATTAATAAAATAATAATATCTCAGGCTGATTTATAAACAAGACGTACGGTAAATAGTTTATTTCAGACAATTTCTAAATCATTTTACAATCCGTATTTCTTATAATATTACTTGAATCCATTCAATGTGTGTTGATTGTGTCAAGTTGATAGCGTGTAATGATCGGAAGAGTGATTGGGAGGTCTTATTCTCATTGTCTATCATGATTATAAAGCCGTCACCGCTGCGTTTCTTGCAAGCCTGTTAGAGAAAATAAAAAATAATAATATTTAGGTTTATTGATTCCAATTTCTCTTCTATCGACTTTTATATTCATTATCAAGGAATATCTATAAGCATTTACTATCAAAGTATTGAAAATTAATAAATTTTCAGCATTAGTCAAAAAAAGTATAATATAAAATATAATCACGGGGATAGAAAACGGTCATCATTCTATTAATGTTACTTTGGTCAAATCTACACAGTGTATTTTGTTCGATTTCCACAAAAAATGGACTCCAGAATAATTCCATATGCACCCGCCATCCTCTGTAACGTTACTCTTGTGTTTTGTTCTAAAAGTATGGCAAAATGAATCACTTGTCATTATTACTTTAAAGTTGTGATGTGAATGTAACTACCTAGCTTACCTGTAGTGTTGCACGGAGTAAAGCCTTGCCTAAACCTTTGCCTGCAATAACAAAAACAAATACAAAAGAGAAGTCATGACGTGGAAACTAATAGGGACTTTTAGATTTGCACGACGAGAACGTGGACTGCAACGTGTGACATCCTTTTAAGGCACTGCCAGTGCCTTAAAAGGACGTCACACGTCCACGCAAATCTAAAAGTTCCTAACTGCTAGGATCAAATTGCACTACAACGATTTCCTGCATGGCAGAACATAATTTGTCTCTTTTACACTTAATATTTAAAGCCTATCTGCACTAGTTTGACCAGTATGGATAAGACCTCCCTGTATGGTCACTGACAGGTGGTTATCAAATATGCTTTCAATTAACATAAGAAAAGGGGACTAGTGGGGGACCAACGGTCACAATAATATTAAGGCATTGTTTGCTATATAGAGGGCGCAAGTAGCTATCAGTAGTCAGTGCCATGTGTATAGATGGCTCCGTAAGTGGTGCGGTGGGGCTTAAGATCACGGTCATAGAGGGGTATACGGGCTATGAATCGACGTTAATCAGGATTAACCAATTAAATAATGGACTCGTATGTCCATAATCAAAAATAATATATGCATTTTTTCTTTAATTTCTATCTCCCAAACATGTAAAAATCAGTGTGTTACTGTTACTTGGGAAAGGACTTCAATTTCGACCAGTTCTAGATTATTGTTTAATAAAGCAATCACATCTCCTGCTATCTAACCCTCCAATGTAGTAGAACAGATCCTATTATCACTGATTGTAAGCTATTATCTGAGGTCATACCTTTTGTTAATAGAATTAAGTGTTTATGAGAGACAGGTGGACATCCCTTACAAAAAAACCTAATGTTAAATGAATGGTGTTTGAATGGTAGCGTCAATGGTAAATGGCATTTCAATGGTGTTCCAATGGTGGATTCTGTATGGTTAATGGTGTTTCAATGGTAGAGTCTGTATGGCTAATGGTGTTTCAATGGTGGCGTCTGTATGGTGAATGCCGTTTCAATGGTGGAATTGTATGGTCAATGGTGTTTCAATGGTGGAATTGTACCATTCATCTATCATTGATGATTATGCAAATGAGCGTCCAAACAATTATTATTATGTTGAATGGTATTTCACTGGTTGATGAATGGACGGTGTCCAATGGTACGTTGCGAGTATTATCTCAATGGTATCCGAATGGTACTTTAATGGTGTTTGTGAATGGTATCCGTATGAATGGACGGTGCCCAATGGTACGTTGCGAGCATTATCTCAATGGTATCCGAATGGTATTTAAATGGTGTTTGTGAATGGTATCCGTATGGTATTTTCAGTGGTATTTCCGAATGGTATACAATTGGTATACCATTAAACATTTGTTTGTAAGGTAAAACATGGCAAAGATCATAGAGGGGCACGGAGGCACATCCCTACATTATTTTCAAATGAAGGACAGGTATAAATCGTATAGAGGATTATCTGACACCTTCGTCACTCTCCCATCTCTTAACGGTTCTCTCGTATTTCATCCACCGCAATGGCACCTTTAATTTGCCCCCTTAATGAAGAGACATTTTCGACGCCGCGGATTGTATTTTCCAATTATACATGCATGTAGTATTTTGATACTTTTGTAAATACTTGTATATTGAAGATAATCCAAAAATTTGGATTCTGTTTCAATAAATTTGAATTTGAAATTTGTAGTAGTTATATGCAGGCCCGTGCCCCCAAAAATGTCCAGATCGGTTGAACTTTTTTAGACCCCTCCCCAGGACGTCGATCAATTACAATGTAAGTGCCCCCCAAACATCAAACTCTGGCTACGGCCCTGGTTATAATTATGAAGGTAGTATTAAATTAGAGCTACGAGTATTACTGTTAGAGCCATTACCCTTCTGCGCCGGCTTGAGATAAAGGCCTTGCAAGAGATATGTCCGCCCTATCAGAGCATAGTACATCTTAGAATAGATCATACAACCCACGATGTCATGGACGACTTCGCTCTCTTCATCCTGGTCTTCGACACGATGTCGATGTTCCACGATGACGGACCCGTACAGTGCTTTGTTGACTGAACCGTCGCGTTCGAATTCTGAGAAAGGAAAAAGATACAAGAAAGATAATAATAATAATAATAATGATGGCTTCTTATATAGCGCACATGTCCGTCACATTGTGACGCTCCTGGCGCTGCCCCGATTATTACCCTAGCTTTAGCAAGGCAGCCAGCATTTCAAGGAATTAAGATACACTTAATATTTTTTTTCTTTCTTTCTGTCTTTTTAAGAATGACTGAATGAATTAATTAAGAATTTGGGGCACAAAATTTAAAACATATATGTTTATATATATTAGGTATATGGCAATAGGAGGCAACTTAGCCATGTTTAGAGAGACATGTGATTATAACACCTGATTTGAATGCTATAACTGTCCCTGCTCGTTCGTTGTCAATTTACTCCTGTTTTTGTTAAAATGATTTTTATTAATCTTTTACTGATCCTCCACCCTTTTGATGCCAAAGTGAAATCCTGTTAATGTTTGTATTGAATGACTTTAACATTACGCATTGAGGAGTTTGACAGATATCGACAGCACAATTTAGTGTAGAAAGCATATCCCTCCTCTCCTTTAAGGGCCTTATATAATAGTCGCGTACAAAAACTCAAAAAACCTACCACAAAAGTATCCCCCCCCCCTCGGCCTCTTTCTCAACATCATTACCATCATCATGACGATTTGCCTTTCATTTTTTATTTCGTTTTTCATTGTTCCTTGCTTAACTTGCGTCATTTGCCTACCTTCTTTGCTGACTTTGAAATGAGCATTAAGATTCTCCATCTCAATCAACTTTTCGAGGAGATGATAAACATTGCTTAGATCTTGTTCTGTGCCGTCACGGATTATATAATCGTCACGCTGTAAATACATGTATGTATAATGAGATGGAAGGACGGGGAGAGAGATGTGAGAGTGAGAGAGAGTGAGAGAGAGAGAGAGAGGGGGGAGAGAGAGAGTGTGTGTGTGTGTGTGAGAGAGGGAGAGAGATAGAGAGAGGGGGAGAGAGAGAGAGAATGAGAGAGAGAGGGGAGAGAGAGGGGAGAGAGAGGGAGAGAGAGAGGGGAGAGAGAGGGGAGAGAGAGAGAGAGAGAGGGGGGGGGAGAAAGAGAGAGAGAGAATGAGAGAGAGAGAGAGAAAGAGAAATAGAGAGAGAGAGAGAGAATGAGAGAGAGAGAGAGAGAGAAATAGAGAGAGAGAGAGAGAGAGAGAGAGATATGGTAAAAAGGAAATATTTTCTATATTCTTATTAACGAATTTTATTCATTAACAAACTATAGAGAGTTATGAATAGAAACATTACAATAATATTTAATTAAAAGATCACAATGCCCAAACTGAACTGGAGGGTGTTGGATTATTGTCGATTAACTTTCATGTAAAAGCTGTTCAGAGGGGTTTGACAAGCTTTGAACTGTACGTAATTAAAAATTAATTAAACATCACATCCTTTCCCTGTCCACCAAATAAATTTACATGCGATTATTTTCTAAAAATTTACAAGAAAAGACAGAAAAGAGAGTGATAAGAATTTAAGCTTAATTGATTACAACATAAGATTTGGTTGATGAAGGAATCTTGGTCGCCATGGTTACCTTTTGAGTGGATGTTGAAGGTGGATTTGGCATGATCCAGACCTCTATCCCAAGACTACTGGTTAGATTGATCATATCTTCCTGTTCTAAGGCTGAGGCGTTCAGTGGTGTCAAAACAGTCAACACGTTGTCAGTATCTGCATCTCGAGACACCTACGAAAGGGAAAACAAATATCGACAAAGCTGGCGACAATGCTTTCCATGCATGTGCTCCTCGACTCTGGAATGAGCTTCCACGTTTTATTCGATTAGCACCTTCGCTGGATGTCTTCCGAAAATGTCTAAAAACTCTCCTCTTTGACCATGATCAACAATAGATTCTTTGATAACTTTTATGTAAATTCAGATTCAATTCAAGATTCAAGATTTTATTGTCCATAATATAATACAGAAATTTGTTTTCCATTGGTATAACATGTAATACATAAAACATAAGACAAAAACATGGTGTCGTGTGCTGAAAGCCAGAAGGGCGTCAAGACTATATAAGAAAAAAGTCTATGAGCAGGTACGGTCCTCTGGCTTTCAGCACAAAACATGACAAGACAGTTATATGACTTATACATAGCAAGAAATTTAAATACAATTCTGAAACACATCATGAATAAATTCAGGTATGAATATAGATGTGAATATGAAAGTAGAATAGGAGCAGCATCACAATCGAAATACGAGCAGAAAGAGAAAGGAAAAGAGAGCTCAAGCTCAAAGGACTGATAAAAGAGAGAAATATAGAGAGAGTTGGTAAGGGTCCAAAGGGAAAGGGGAGAGATAGAGAAGGAGAGATGGCATAATTTCCAAAGCGCTGTGAAACAACAGTTAGTTTGTAAGAGCGCTATAGAAGTGACTTTATTGTATCCTTTAGTTACCAGGAGGACGTTATGTCGACGAGACTTATGTATACCAAACTATAAATAAAATCAAATTAAAATATTTTCGATTTGTATGTGTCGGTGTTTATTTTTTAATTAGCAATTGGCTAAGCCTGTACCTTGAAATTTAGGTAGAAATTCAAGCAAAAAATGTTAGTGTCATCTGTTGAGAACAAAGATTTAACTCGTTTGGGCCTGTAATATCGAAAAGAAAACATTAAAGAATCAGAAAGGAGTTGGAATTCAAACGCTGTAGTTTATCTGTTGTTTGTTAGCTCCCCGATTTCAAGATAACTTCTGGAACGAATTAGGTATGAAATTAAGCATTGTACTGTCATTTTGCTATTGTTTCAAATAGAAATTAAATATTGCATATATTTCTATCACTAAAACAGTTAGATGAACACGATCTTAATGATTTGCGAAAACTCAATCCATGTCAGTAGCATTGTCCGTCACCTATTGAAAAGTGCGAACATTATAAACAACGTATTTCGTATTCCGAACATAACTTAAAGGTAATACAAAGTTTTGGGAAATTTTGAAAATTGGCTGGAAGTGATTCTTTACAATTTTGAAATATTTGGATGCCCCTGTGAATGTATTATAATCACTAGAAAATTCAGCCCCTAAAACTCTTCGGCTTTCGAGAAATATTAAATATAAAAATTTACCGGTGCTCCCGGTAAATTTTGATAAATTTCAAATAGCGCCTACGGCCGTACGATGGTACCTGCGACCATGAAAATCTCAGAATATGTAGTTGTGATATATAATTTTCAAACGGGAAGCTAATCGGTCGATTTTGTCCTGAAACATTGTTTTATAGCTTAATTAATATATTTACCTTGAGAGGGAGCTATACAACATAAAGAGTGTATTATTTACAATTTCATAACTTTAGACTCGATTTCAACCGTGACAACGATCACTGAATATTGTAGGATCGCATATGCTTCCAATATGTTCATTTGAACCAAATTCATGACCCCATACCAAAACTTTGTATTACCTTTAAGTAGATTTCTCGAAGCCTTGCGATCATGTAAGTATAAGATCTACATGTATGAAGAGATAGGAATATTTAAATACCCCCCCCCCCCCACCTCAAGAAAAGATTCTCTGTAGACAGTTTTAAAGACATAGCAATTAATTTCGTATATATTTCGTATACCGTATATATGTCAAAACGTCTTCATTCATTAATATATTTTGTTATTCATAATCATTGGAAATCGATACTAAACAGAACTGCACAGTTATCACTTAAATGTATATGTCTGACGTATATGTTATCATTCTCTTCTGTGCATCTTACATGACAATATCTTTAATGTAATACATCATTCATACATTATCATTATAATGAATCTACATTGTTAGATGGCTAGCAGTCTCAATTGTCATAAATCCTACAAAACTAGGAGAAGGTTAACAATATATTTATACCAGTTCTGTTGAATTAAATCGATAAGAAGAAATAAAATGTGAAATGCAATAATTAAGCGACCACTTTTGATTTTTTTTCTGAAAGAAATATTGATGGGTCGGGGTTCAGATCGCACATTCTCTCGAGTGATGCCCTTAATACTGGTTCAAGATTAAAAGGTAAAACAAACCTTCTTGGTATGCTGGATCAATTTCTGCTCAAGTCCACGGTCTTTCAAATCGAAATAAAAATATAAAAACAAATAAATACAAAGTGAGCAACAATGGAGTAGGAAAGTATATGCATTGTTTATTATATAAAATGTAATGTTATTGCAGGGGCGGGGAAATTACAGGGACAGATTGTGATCAGAAAAGAGGTGATTCCTTCCAGCCCTTCCCTTAGTAGCCTTGCCTTTAATTTTCTCGCAGCTTTGCTCCCATGCACCCCCTCCCCCTCTCTCCCCGCCCACCCCCATAATGATGGCAATAATTCCAGGCATTTTTCAAGGAGTAAACAATCGCAATTTTGACGATGACAATGCTAAACTTGGAGATGGTGATTGTGGTGGTGATTGTGGGGGTGATTGTGGTGGTGATTGTGATGGTGATTGGGGTGGTGATTGTGGTGGTGATTGTGGTGGTAATTGTGGTGGTGATTGTGATGGTGACTGTGGTGGTGATTGTGATGGTGATTATGGTGGTGATTGTGGTGGTGATTGTGGCGGTGACTGTGGTGGTGATTGTGTTGGTGACTGTGGTGGTGATTGTGGTGGTGATTGTGATGGTGATTGTGATGGTGACTTTGGTGGTGATTGTGGTGGTGATTGTGGTGGTGATTGTGGTGGTGATTTTCATGGGGAAGGGGTGAAGGAGGGAAGGACGAAGATGATAATGATGATGATGATGATAATGAGGAGAAGGAGAGGGACGACGACGATGATGCTAAACTTGGTGGTGGTGGTGATTATCATGAGGAGGGGGGTGAATTAGGGGAAGAATGAAGATGACAATGATGATGATGATAATGAGGAGGGGGAGGAGAGGGATGACGACGATGATGCTAAACTTGGTGGTGGTGATTGTGGTGGTGATTATCATGAGGAGGGGGTGAAGGATAGGGAGGATGAAGATAATGATGATGATAATGAGGAGAAGGACGACGACGATGCTGCTAAAGTTGATGAGAAGGAGGAGAAAGAGAAAGATAGTCATGATAATCATGATGATAATGATATCAATAATGATGCTGAAGATGACAATGGTGATGATGATGGTGATGATGATGATGATGATGATGATGATGGTAATGATCAAGGTAGGCCAATAATGAAACTTCTCAGTGTATGATAATAACAATTTGATAAGAATTATTGCGACATTAAATAAACACAATATGAACGCTTTCTACCTAGTAAACTATATGGCGCAGTTGGTGAATTGCAATAATATTCCTATTCATTGTATTGGATTTATTATACCCGGTAATCGAGATTTTTGTTTCCTCTGCCAATCATTAACTACAAGTTTGTAAACAGTGTTACAGATATAAAAAAAACATTAACATGTATCAGTTTTATGATAGACTTTATGGCCTGATTATATTGATCCTATTTTTCCTGTATTATTTATTCCTTTATAATTTTATGTATGCAGTTCCTTATAACATAAGCGCTTAGAAACTTTGTATTAAGCGCTATATAAATGTAATTTATTATCATTATTATAAACAAAATACATACAATATCAAAAATTGCAAACACGACAAAGAACAACTCTTTAGCTGATAATCAAGTTTGTTTATCGATTTTTGTTCCATACATGCAGGTACAAGAAGAAAATCCAATCATAGTCTCGTACAGCAGGTACATACAAGATTTACAACATAATTAAGTAGTCCAATATTATTGGTTAAAATCTTCTTAGGAATGATCAAAGAGAAAATGTCATACTTCTAAAAGCTGGCTTGATATAGCAGCAGTGAGGGAAAGTCGTTTCACCTACGATGTATTCATAAAAGAAGGAAAAGAAAATACATCCAATGATCTGCCTCTGGTTCTCTGTTTCATCCTCAACCTCGATGACAAGCGCTTTGAATAGTATTTGGTTGAAGTGTTCCTCAAAACCTATGGAAGAAAAATATTGATAACAATATAAATATTTCAGCATTGTTCGTGCGTAATTGTAACTATCATTAGAGTGGATTGTTTTGCTTCACTCACAATCATGTAGAGTAGCCAATGTCCATTTGCATCTCCTCCCAATAATACCAATGGGGATTGATTGATCATTTGTAAAAGGGATTGCATGCGAGGCGTTGCACACAATTTTCCAACAAATAAGCCCAAATATGCGGGATTGGGGCGGAAAAACTGCAGCCAGCCATAAGAATAACAAAAGACATTTAATACAATATATATTATAAGGGCTAGTGATTCCACTACCTGAACGCCTGGGATTTGCCAACCTCTGAGTACCCCGTATACATGCAGGTGAATGGTCCCTTCAAATACAAATACATAAACAAATGTCGGTGTCGTAGGGCTTAATAATACTCACAGCTTTTTTTTTAGGGTTCACTAGATCGACAACCTACAAAAGCTACCTTTTCTATCTTTGCTTAATCGCTTATTTCATGGGCTAGCTGTCTTCTGAGGTGACCCGGAACTAAATGTGAGCATAATGGAAATTATGGAAAATAAAGATATCCCATAATAATTATGGCAATTTACAGTGTAACACTGGATGGTCGGGTGAGAAGAGGACTGCTTGAGACTATTTTCGATGGCTATCAGAATACAATGTTTCGATTGTATAATAACAAGACCGTGTTGCAGATGAGGCTTAAACTTACTAGTTCGTGAATTCTTGAATTCCTCCTCAAGTTTTTGTTCGACAACATACTCCTGGAGTAAGTCATAGAGACCGGATACATCGGAGGCGATGGCGAGACGAATATCATAGCTATCCATTTTCGAGACACCAAACATTTTAAAGCAAATAATCTGTTCTATGCCTATACCCTATATAGTATGGTATAATAATCTGTTGTTTGTATTGCTAGTAACTCATTGGTGCTGGTATCTCCTTGGTTTAACGCACATCGCACAAAGTCCATCATACGAATAGACGATGCAAGCAATGTTGGATTGAATTAAACTATGTCCGGACTGATAATCCCTTACAAAGTCATTCATTAATATTGGAGCAGCGTTTTCAATTTTTTTTCTTCAATCTTGGCAAACTTTTAAGAAAAAAAAACAGTCACCCCAATCCCAGAATTTTCATAGAAAATAAATTTTACATCACTCTGACACTCGTCAATATACCTACGGGCGAGCGAAGCGAGCAAGCACAAAAATTAATAAAAACCATGCAATTGTAGATAATTATAAGATATAAAATTATGTAGTGCGGGCATCTTGAATACAAAAGTCATATATTTCATCGCCTTGATTCACGAATACGACGATATTCTGGCACCTCGCTATCGAATAAAAGAATATTCGGGCCCCTCCATTAATATAACTAAACTGCTCTCGCGGTACCCCTATAGAGATGTCTTGCGGCACCCAGGTTAAAGCGAGCAACGCCTCAATACATAAATCACAGTAAGTAGGCCTATTTCAAGGCCCATGTGAAATAAAAAGAAGAGCAACGCCCAATTCATCAATCACAGGAAGTAGGCCTATTTCCAGGCCCATGTGAAATAAAAAGAAGAGCAACGCCCAATTCATCAATCACAGGAAGTAGGCCTATTTCCAGGCCCATGTGAAATAAAAAGAAGAGCAACGCCCAATTCATCAATCACAGGAAGTAGGCCTATTTCCAGGCCCATGTGAAATAAAAAGAAGAGCAACGCCCAATTCATAAATCACAGGAAGTAGGCCTATTTCCAGGCCCATGTGAAATAAACAGAAGAACAACGCCCAATTCATAAATCACAGGAAGTAGGCCTATTTCCAGGCCCATGTGAAATAAACAGAAGAACAACGCCCAATTCATAAATCACAGGAAGTAGGCCTATTTCCAGGCCCATGTGAAATAAACAGAAGAACAACGCCTCAATACATAAATCACAGGAAGTAGGCCTATTTCCAGGCCCATGTGAAATAAAAAGAAGAACAACGCCCAATTCATCAATCAAAGGAAGTAGGCCTATTTCCAGGCCCATGTGAAATAAACAGAAGAACAACGCCCAATTCATAAATCACAGGAAGTAGGCCTATTTCCAGGCCCATGTGAAATAAAAAGAAGAGCAACGCCCAATTCATAAATCACAGGAAGTAGGCCTATTTCCAGGCCCATGTGAAATAAAAAGAAGAACAACGCCCAATTCATCAATCAAAGGAAGTAGGCCTATTTCCAGGCCCATGTGAAATAAACAGAAGAGCAACGCCCAATTCATCAATCACAGGAAGTAGGCCTATTTCCAGGCCCATGTGAAATAAAAAGAAGAACAACGCCCAATTCATCAATCAAAGGAAGTAGGCCTATTTCCAGGCCCATGTGAAATAAACAGTGAGCACATTTTTTTTTTTTTGATCCTCAAAAAAATTTCAAGTTGCACCCCCCCCCCCCTTGAGCGCCAGAGGGGGGGGGGGGGGGGGGCCCAACCCCCCAAAAAGGTAAAAATCACGTGATTTTACATGATTTTTTTTTTCTCAAGGGGGGGGGGGGGCCGATCCGCCACTGTTCAACGCAAGAACACTGGTACCCAAAATGATGTGATATCCTTTGATAAAGACATTATTGATTTGAATTACGATTTCATTCAGAAGCATTTTAAGCATTAAAATGTAGCCTCAAGCGTGTTTCGAATGTGTTAACATCCCTTTGTATATTTTGTATTATTTTAGTTGTAAAGTGATTCATTCAGCCTGTGCTGCTGGTCAGTTCTTATGGACCAATAAATGACAATAAATAAATGAAATAAAAATGAAAGATATCTAAATAATTACGAAAATATTACTGACATTATGCAAAAGTACGAGTTTGATGAATAATTACAAATGGAAGATGTGGTAAAGATGGGATGAAAGGAAAACATTATGTTATTGGTTCACGCGAGTTTTTAATATAAGCCACATTGTGAATTTTGAAATTGAGCCTTTTTGTAAATTATTATCCGGTGAGCTCAATCTTGTAACATTTTATGTTAGAAATTTCAGGGACCAGGCAGAAAGATCCATGAAAATTATTGATCGTGAGTCTTGATCTTTTTATATGCCCAGAAGTGTGAAACATTGCATCAATAATCGAATGCATAAAGAAAAACAAAATCACATGATACCGCGTAATATAATATAATAAAGCCCGTTACAATAATCCAACCGGGAAAGAACATGACTGCGAATCACATGATGACATCTTCAGATACATACTTCCTTATCTGTGATACATTCTTCAACTGAAATCGTACAGATTTACAGAGCTGGTTTATTTGGTTAGACATGGACATGTTGCAATCGAAAATTACACCAAAGTTCTTGACCGATGTATAGATAGTGCAATCTGACTGGTTCCAAATGTGATATTAACATCATTAATGTTTCCCAAGTTGTGTTTGGAGCCGATTACAAAAACTCTGTTTTTTCCTCATTTAGTTTAAGTTGATTCCTTCCCATCAACGTACTTATATATGTGACACAATCTGAAGAGAGTTTTTAATGCAGTATCTAAGCAATTAGGTTGCTTAGGGTCAAACGACTGTCAGCATAAGTGTGATATGAAACGTTATAATGTCTAGCGATGTCTGGCCCAGGCAAAGTATATAATATATCCTATGGGTCCAAACACGGATTATTGAGGGAGACCAACTTTGTTAAAAGCTACTACTGACTGTTTCCCTCTAAATTCAACACAAGTCATGTGGACCAGTATGACCTAAACCATCTCAAAGCTGCACCCCAGCTCACATCCTTGTTGATAACCGACATATTAAAATATGACGGCCAATAGTATCAAAGGCTGCTGACAGATCTAATGACAACAATAAAACTGCTCGACCTTTATCAATAGTAGACAGAATATTAATTTTTTACTTTAATAAGTGCGCTTTCAGTACTATGATAGGGTCTATATGCAGATTGGTTAGGATCCCACTATCTATTTCATTAATGTGTAATCCGTGAGTCTACGACAAGCAATTTTCTCAATGAGCTTTTCCAAGAAACTTAGATTTGACACAGGTCTATAATTAGACAAGCAATCTTTATCAAGATTTTGCTAATAAAGTCTAATAATGGCTGACCTAGCTGCAGAAGGGAATGTACCCGTCTGTAAAGGTGAATTAAGTTGTATAACAAAAGAAAATCATACATGTCTAGTTTATATTAATTTTGTTATGAAGAGGTTAGAGCAAGGCTCCCGGCCTGGTACAATACCAGATGAATGAATGAATGAATGAATGAATATATCATAGAGAAGACATCAATAAGAGAAGACAGTGTCACGATGTTTCACATCCAATTATTTTACATCAAAAATACATTTAATTATGAAGTAATCGAGCTATCTATGAATCAATAAATGAATGAATCAGTGTATCCAACAAAGAATGTGATACCATCATTACAATGTTTTAATACTGCTCTTCTTGAGGGGCCATGCAATAATCCTGATTACCCATCATCGGTAAGGTACCCTTGTACCTTGGTAGAGAGGGATAATTTTAGCACTGAGCGAGCATCAAACCTAGAACATCATTCTATGAACGTCAAAAGCATTCACTAATACATAACACAATCGCGAAGACTTTCGAGAAATAATGACAAAGTCAGTATTCCATAGAAAACTATGTTCGAATTGTTTTACAATTGGCATATTTCAATAAGTAATGGCCAAGGTTATTTGTGGTTGCCTCATAATGAATTTTCGAAAATCTTTTCGATCGTCTTCAATCAGAATTAATCAGTTAAGAATACACAATGTAACATTCAATTCAATTACCTTCAATTAAGTTTATTATTTCCATAAAAATCACATTACAAAAACACATATATTTGCAATAAGTACTGTAAATAACATGCAAAATCTTTCACTAAAATATAAATAAGTACATTAAAATATTAAACAATAATGGGAAATGGACTTTGTCTAGATATCTCCCCAAAACATGCACATGAAATAAACCGCTTATTAATTATCCTTTAATAGAACTATTCTTCATGAAAAACCATGGCACCACTAAAATCTTCAGGTAAATTATGAACGTATCGTTTAGGGAAATCTAATACTAATTTTCGATAGACATAATATCAATATTATATCAAGGTAAGATTAACTCTAATCATAGTCAGATAACTGGTGGAGTAACGTCGAAGGATTTCTAGGCCATTGTCACTTCCCATCATCTTGCTTCTCATAATATCTCAGGCTGATTTATGAACAAGACGTACAGTAAATAGTTTATTTCAGACAATTTCTAAATCATTTTACAATCTGTATTTCTTATAATATTACTTGAATCCATTCAATGTGTGTTGATTGTGTTAAGTTGATAGCGTGTAATGATCGGAAGAGTGATTGGGAGGTCTTATTCTCCTTTTGTATAATGATCATAAAGCCGTCACCGCTGCGTTTCTTGCAAGCCTGTTAGAAAAAATATAAGAATATTTAGGTTTGTTGATACCAATTTCTCTTTAGTCGACGTTTATATTCATATTCATTGAATATCTATAAGCATTTACTATCAAAGTTTTAAAGATTAATAACTTTCGGTATTCTTTGTTGGATTTTTCAAAAAGTTTTCACTTACTAATTTTGATTTTCAGCATTAGTCAAAATTAACTTGATAATGAGTTTGTAATCACGGGGATAGAAAAACAGTCATCATTCTATTAATGTTACTTTGGTCAAATCTACACAGTAGATTTTGTTCGATTTTCGACAAAAATGGACTCCAGAATGATTCCATATGCACCACCCTCTGTAACGTTATTGCTGTACTTTGTACTAAAAGTATGGCAAAATGAACCACTTGTCATTATTACTTTGAAGTTGTGATGTGAATGTAACTACCTAGCTTACCTGTAGTGTTGCACGGAGTAAAGCCTTGCCTAAACCTTTGCCTGAAATAACAAAAACAAATACAAAAGAGAAGTCATGACGTGGAAACGGTAATTTCAAGTTCAAATTGCACTGCCACGATTTCCTGGCAGAATATGGCAAACATCATAAAGGGGCACGGAGGCACATCCCTACATTCTTTTCAAATAAAGGACAGGTATAACTCGAATAGAGGATTATCTGGTACGTTCGTCACTCTGTCTCATCCACCACAATGGCACCTTTAATTTGCCCCTTAATGAGGAGACATTTTGCTACGCCACGGATTGTATTTTACAAAGTCATGCTTGTACATGTAGTACTTTGATACTTTTGTAAATACTTGTATATTGAAAATAATCCACAATTTTGTATTCTGTTTCAATGAATTTGAATTTGAAATTGTTAGTAGTTAGGATTATTACTATTAGAGTCATTACCCTTCTGCGCCGGCTTGAGATAGAGACCTTGTAAGAGATATGTCTGCCCTATCAAAGCATAGTACATCTTAGAATAGAGCATACAACCCACGATGTCGTGGACGACTTCGCTCTCTTCATCCTGGTCTTCGACACGATGTCGATGTTCCACGATGACGGACCCGTACAGTGCTTTGTCGACTGAACCGTCGCGTTCGAATTCTGAGAAAGAAAAAAGAAAGACACACTAAATGAATTTTTCATTCTTTCTGTCTTTTTAAGAATGACTGAATGAATTTATTACGATTTTCGGGCACAATATTCAAATCATATTTATTAGGTATATGACAATGGGAGACAACTTAGCCATGTTTTGAGAGGCATGTAATTATAACACCTGATATGAATACTATAACTGTCCCTGCTCATACGTTGTCAATTTACTTCTGTTTTTGTTTTAAATGATTTTCATCAATCTTCCACAGATCCTCCGCCCGTATTAATACAATTTGATGCCACAGTGAAATTATATTATTGCTTGTATTGAATGACGTAAAATTACGCATTAAGGAGATTGACAGATATCGAAAGCACCATTTAGTGTAGAAAGCATATCCCTCCTCTCCCTTAAGTGCCTTATATAATAGTCGCACACAAAATCTCAAAAATCTACCACAAAAGTACCCCCCCCTCCCACTCAGCCTCTTTCTCAACATCATTGTCATTACTAATCATCTTCATAAGTACATATGTTATTTCCATTCACACTTTTTCTAGAAATAAATACGTTCCATTGGCCTTTTCACCTTTTATTTTGTTTTTTGTTGGTGTCATTTGCCTACCTTCTTTACTGACTTTGCAAAGAGCAGTAATATTCTCCAACTCAGCCAACTCTTCGAGGAGACGGTAAACATTGCTTAGATCTTGTTCCGTGCCGTCACGGATTATATAATCGTCACACTGTAAATACATGCATGTATAATGAGATGGAAGGACGAGGAGAGAGATGTGAGAGTGAGAGAGAGTGAGAGAGAGAAAGAGAGAGAGAGATAGAGAGAGACAGAGATGGAGAGAGAGAGAGAGATGGAGAAAGAGAGAGAGAGAGAGAGAGAGAGAGAGAGATGGTAAAAGGTACATTATCTATTGATTCTTAAAATAATTGCGTTGTAAAATGATATTCATTTATTAACAAACTAGAGACAGCTATGAAAAGAAACATTGCAATAAATAAAAACGATCACAAGAGGATTGTGAATTATTGTCAATTAACTTTTCTGTGCTCAGAGGGGTTTGACAAGCTTTGAACTGAACTGAATTGAAATTAATTAAACATCACATCCTTTCCCTTTCCACCAAACAAATTTACATGCGATCATTTTCTAAAGCTTTACAAGAAAAGACAGAAAGAGAGTGGTAATAATTTAAGCTTAATTGATTACAACATAAGATTTGGTTGATGAGGGAATCGTGGTCGCCACGGTTACCTTTTGAGTGGATGTTGAAGATTGATTTGGCATGATCCAGACATCTATCCCAATGCTACTGGTTCGATTGTCCATACCTTCATTTTCTAAGGCTCTTCTATATGAGGCATTCAGTGGTGTCAAAATAGTCAACATGTTATTAATATCTGCATCTCGAGACACCTACGAAAGGAGAAAATTCATCTTTTAGTAACCAGGAGGACGTTATGTCGACGAGACTGAGACTATGTACACCAAACTATAAATAAATCATATAAAGATCTTGTCGATTATTATTTTTATGTGTCGGTGTTTATTTTTTAATTAGTAATTGGCTAAGCCTGTACCTTGAAGTTTAGGTAGAAAGTCAAGCAAAAAATGTTAGTATCATCTGTTGAGAACAAAGATTTAATTTGGCCAGTAATATCGAAATAAAAATAAAAATAAAGGCTCAAAAGGGAGTTAGAATTCAAAAGTTAGCTTTTCTGTTGTTTGTTAACTACCCGATTTCTCTTCTGTACACCGTACATGATAATGTCTTAACGTAATACATCATTCATATCATCATTCATAATGAATCTACATTGTTAGATGGCTAGTAGTCTCATTTGTCACAAATCCTATTCAACTATAAGAAGGTAAACAATATATTTAAACCATTTCCATTGAATTGAATTGATTCGAAGAATGTGATAAAATGTGAAAATGTAATATTTAGCGACCACTTTTGATTTGTTTTCTTCTGAAAGAAATATTGATGGGGCGGGGTTCAGATCCCACATTCTCTCGAGTGATGCCCTTAATACTGGTTCTAGATTAAAAAGGTAAAACACACCTTCTTGGTATGCTGGATCAATTTCTGCTCAAGTCCACGGTCTTTCAAATCGAAATAAAAATATAAAAACAAATAAATACAAAGTAAGCAACAATGGAGTAGGAAAGTATATGCATTGTTCATTATATAAAAGGTAATGCTATCGCAGGGGCGGGGACATTACATGGACAAATTTCTCCCGCCACCCCCCCCCCCCCCCCCCCCCCCCCCGCGGCGGTCAGCCACGCCCATATTGATTGCCATAATTCCATGCGATTTTCAGGGAGTAAATATTCGCGATTCTGACAATGACGATGCTAAACTTGGTGATGGTGATTGTGGTGGTGATTGTGGTGGTGATTGTGGTGGTGATCGTGGTAGTGATTGTGGTGGTGATTGTGGTGGTGATTATCATGAGGAGGGGGTGAAGGAGGGGAGTGATGAAGATGATAATGATATTAATGATGATGTTGAAGATGATGATGGTGATGATGATAATGATGGTAACGATCAAGGATCAGGTCATCAATGACATTTCTAAATTTAATTATAAACACAATATGAACGCTTTCTACCTAGTATTTAGTAGTAAACTATTAGGCGCAGTTGGTGAATTGCAATGGTATACCTATTCATTGTATTGGGTTTATTATACCCGGTTATCGAGATTTTTGTTTCCTCTGCTAATCATTAACTACAGGTTTGTAAACAGTGTTACAGATGTCAACATGTATCAGTTTTATGATAGACTTTATGGCCTGATCACATTGGTCCTGTTTTTCCTGTATTATTCATTCATGTATAAGTTTATGTATGCAGTTCCTTATAACATAAAAATTAATTTAAAAAAACATTAAAAACTGCAAACACGACCATCAAGGAACAACTCGTTAGCTAACAAACAAGTTTTGTTTATCGATTTTTGTTCCATACATGCAGGTACAAGAAGGAAATCCAATCATAGTCTCGTACAGCATGCAGGTACATAAAGGATTTACAACATAATTAAGTAGTCCAATTGGTTAAAATCTTCTGAGTTATGATAAAAGAGAAAATGTCATACTTCTAAAAGCTGGCCTGATATAGCAGCAGTGAGGGAAAGTCGTTGCGCCTACGACATATTCATAAAAGATGGAAAAGAAAATACATCCAATGATCTGTCTCTGGTTCTCTGTTTCATCCTCAACCTCGATGACGAACGCTTTGAATAGTACTTGCTTGAAATGTTCCTCAAAACCTATGGAGGAAAAATATTGATAACAATATAAATATTTCAGCATAGTTCGCACGTAATTGTAACTATCATTAGAGTGGATAGTTTCAAGCCCGTATACAAGCTTTTTTTAAAGGGGGGGGGGGGGTGTTAGGGTTGCCAACTTTGAGCCAGAGGTGATAGTGAGACATTGCGAGGTGGGTAATGAGCACTTCAAATATTTATCGGCGAATTAGCCGGCGAATAATATCAAATTCCCTTTTAGCGCTGACCCTGATGCCCATGTACTTCATCGAAGCCTCCGAGACCTATACAGCTCACAAGATCTACAGCTAACGAGATCGACAGTCTATACGAAACCAGCAGCTCATGAGATCTACAGCCTGCGAAAGAGCGAAATCTCGCAGCCTAACAAATATTTTTTATGAGACTGTTTTTTTGTTCACGTAGGTTGCATGTTAGTCAACTGGAATGTCCTCATAATCTTTGGCTATACTGTGTATTTACTTGATACAAATTACATGTAAATAAAACTAGACAAGAAGTGTAAACGAAAAGTGTAATTCTACACAAGTATAGTTAGACTATTTCATAAGAATAAGTACAATGTGCACTTCGACAGGTGAATATACCACGCAAGATTATATATACCGGCCTTTTATAAGGGCTAGGTACATCATTATTCCACTACTTGAACGTCTGGGATTTGCTAACCTCTTAATACCTCGTAACAGGTGAATGGTCCCCCCAAATACTAATACAAAAACGTAAATAAATAAACAAATATCATGAACCATTGCGCTAAAACCATGATATTGACACTCTCGGTCACGTGGGGCTTTAAAATACCCACAATTTTTGTTCAGGGTTCACTAGATCTACAACCTCCAAAATCGACCTTTTCTATATTTGCCTATGTATTTCATGGACTGTCTGTCTTCTGAGGTGACCCCGAACTAATGGTAATGTGAGCATAATGAAAATTATGGAAAATACAGATATCCCATAATAATTATGGCAATTTACACTGTAACACAGGATGCTCGGGTGAGAAGAGGACTGCTTGCGATTATAATCAATGTCCATCAATGTCTATTAGAATACAATGTTTCGATCGTATAATAACAACACCATGTTGCAGATGAGGCTTAAACTTACTAGTTCGTGAGTTCTTGAATACCTCCTCAAGTTCTTGTTCGACGACATACTCCTTGAGTAAGTCATAGAGACCGGCTACATCGGAGGCGATGGCGAGACGAATCTAATAGCTATCCATTTTCGAGTTTTAAAGCAATTAATCTGTTCTATGCCTATGCCCTATAATATGGTCTATTGTCGATCTGTTGTTTACTTTGTTTGATCATGCTATACAAAGTCCACCACACGGACAGACGGTGCCGGAAGTGTTGGAACGGTTGAATTAATAGTCGTAAGGCAAACTTTGTCCCTTACAACAGGCGCGGATCCAGGATTTCTTAGGGCCGGGGCCCACTTTTTTTGCCCCCACCTCAAAAAAAATTGCAACCACTCAGCCAGCCGCTGAATAAGCGGGGGGGGGGGGGGGGGGGGGGGTAAGAGGGCACTTTTCTTTGTTTTTTGGTCTCGAAATTTGAAAATTTGTTCCCTTGGGGGAGGGGATGAGGTCACCTTTTTTTAGGTCAGCCATTGGCATAATTTTTATTTTTATTTTTATTTTTTTTTTAATTAAAAAAAAAATCACAAAGGGTGGGGGGGGGGATGCTCCAAAATACACACATAAAAAAAAAACGAAGGGGATAATTCAGTTGTTAACCGTATAATCTTTTAATTTCCCAGGATGTGGTGCCTACTGTGACAATGCTGTAGGAGGAGTAGCAACAACAGGTGTCGGGGAAGCTATCATGAGGATTGCAATGGCATCTCGTATTCTGCTCTATATGGAACACGGTGAGATCATCCGACTCAATAGATGTCAGTGTTTATTAATATTTCTTATTGAATATTGACATGACTGTAAGAGCAGAAGAAGAAAAAAGAAAGAAAAAATAACACGCAAAAAAACGATTACATTGTTGTGATCTAGGGTGGGATTGGGGATGGAAAGACAGCCAAGGATTGTTATTAATGTTATAAATAGTTATTAGAAAAGGAAAAATGCAAATATTGATAGAGGAGGGAAGGGGATAGAGATTACCTTTAAATCAACATTTGTATTGTTTGTGACATATTAAGTTACATGTTGAAAATGTATGAAGATACATTTTTATCTTTTCTGATACTTGATCTCGATTTTTGTTTTTCTGTCAGCAGGCATGACAGGGGAGGCTGCAGCGATAAAGTCACTTCAATTCATGAAAGAAAGGACTGGTTACAAAGCTGGTGCCATTGTCGTTAGCCCGGATGGTCAAGTAAACCCCGTGTTTTCTACTTCTAGTATGTCATGGGCTATAGCTAAAGATAGTCGAATCTCATACGGTGTGAGGATGGGAGAAGTGTTCGACGGTGGAATCATCTGAGGGTGTTTTAAACCCAATCCCAGAACTTGTCAGTAACTTGCATGATAATCTCTTTGTGATGTCACGAATAGCCAATCGTTATCTTTAACAGCAGGGGCGGCGACTTCTTGTCATGACTGAAGGAGGGGGACACGATATTTAAGGATCAGCTTAGAGACTAAGCCGTCCATGTTAATTGCCATATTTATATGTCAAGTTCCAATTAATAATAGGAAGTATAGAGTTGGAATGAAGGCCTATACTAGCTCCTTTACCAACTCAACTATTCCTGAATGAAGACGTATCTACAATCTTACCCAGCAAACATGTTCTATTTTTGCTCAACTCGTTTTTAGAGTGTAGTAGTAATTTTGATAAATGTGTTTTGTATTTTATAATATACTAGTATTGAATTTCATTCACATTTCAATATTTCAAAGTTAACGTAACTGTGTTGTAATGTATTTTATTAAACACACATCATTATTCTGTATAAACAATAATAGTTTACGTATACCAATGAGCATAATAATAGCATTCATCATGGAGTGTTTTCATGACAATACTTTTAAATGGAAACTGTACATGATAATTATTAAGTGTTAACAAATATGGACTTCCTTGAAATACAATCGAACATTTTCCTATATATTAGAAACCTTCAACTTCATTTTTTTAATAAACGAAAATTTGCATGAATTACTGTATATTGCAAATACGTAATATCATGTCTCTGTATAACTATCTACTTTTATATTTCTTTGTACTTCAATCTTTGATTATGAATCTTCCGTTACGTTGTGTTTCATGAAATGTGATCGATATGGTTTTAATGACTTCAATTCAATACCCTAATAATAGAACATTATATTCATATTCACTGCGTATACAAATTTTTTGCATGCATAATTGCATATAATACTAATAACTTCCGAACATATTAAAGACCTTTAAAAATAGATATATTATATATTACTTTATTGCAATAGAACCTTCGTGATTGTATAGAGGTATAATGTACGCGATTTAACATATTTGTACTTATGTAGTTGTGATGAAGCAGTTAATAAATCAACCTAATGTTACACAACTGATACGCTCTACCACTGAATTTGATGAGAAAACTTGTGTTTCTGTACATACTTCATGTATTAGTATTACTTGAAAATTTTACCCAACGTATTGTTCAGCACATTTCATAGACACAATGCGTTATGATTGTACTTTTATGTATTTCTTTTGTAAAACAAAATAATGATATGCATTGCCAAAAATGTTCTTAATAAAATGTTTGTAGGTGGTCAGTCTCGTTGTTCGTAAGGGTTGTTTCCGTTCTTACCTATAATATCATGGACTATGCACAGGCCTTCCCTTATACCAGAGGCGGCCCTCCGGGGAGGGGGGGGCACAATGCCCCCACTTTTCCAGCATTCGAAAAGTGCCCCTTTAATTTTTTTAAAAGTGCCCCTTTTACTTTGACAAGTGCCCCTATTAATTTGTAAAAATGCCCCTTCCCCTTTTCAACTCTGATAAGTATCCCTTTTACTTGGACACGTGCCCCTTTTCTTTTGACAAGTTCCCATTTTCCTTTTCATAAGTGTCCATTTTCCATTCCCCTAAGTGCCCTTTTTAATCTCTAGTAAGTGCCCCTAGTTAGGTACGAGAAGTGTCTCTTTTCACTTTTGATAAGTGCCCCCTTCACCTCTGATAATTGTCCTATTTGAATCTGAGAGGTGCCTCTTTTACTTTGACAAGTGCCCCTTTTCCTTTGTAAGAAGTGCCCCTTCCCCTTTTAATAATTACCCCCATTTCATCTCCGATAAGCGCACCTTATATATTCACATGTGCCCTTTTTCCTTTCTAATAAGTACCCCTTTTCCTAATGATAAGTGCCCCATTAAAATAAAGAGCACCTTCCCCTTCTCATAAGTGCCCCTTTTTTGGTAGAGTGCCTCGTTTTGAGGGTGTAAGAAGTGCCCCATTTCACCTCTGATAATTACTCTTTGTACTTTGGCACATGCTTCTTTTATTTCATGATAAGTGTCCCATTTTTCTCTCATCATTAAACGCGCCCTAGTTCAAGTTCAAGTTCAAGTTCAAGTTCTTTTATTCAAAACCACACGAAACATGATATAATCTTTTACATAAAAAAAAGAGACTGGTAATAGTACATTAATCAACATATTTTAACTTGATTACATCATTAAATGAATGTTTTTTTAGAACCCCTGTAGAAGCTAAGCTTGTGAGCGGGGCCCTAAATTCAACAAAATACATACATTAACGATATGGCAAAGTGAATAAAAAGAATGTAATGTTTATACAAGGGATGGAAATAGAGCACAAAAAATATATATATTCACACACACACACACGCGCGCGCACACGCGCACACACACACACACACACACACACACAGCAAACACACTGATGAGTAGGTCCTTAGTGGTCTATAAGCATTTGAGAATGAGAAATTATTAAGATACAAAGTAGAATTATGTCAGTCTTCCAAGTAGGTACGTTTTAGATAACCTTCTAAACCTAGAAAGAGTTGTACTATTTTTTATATCATCAGGCAAAATGTTCCATTCTTTGATGCAAGCGATATGGAAAGAGGTCAGAGTGATATTGTTCTTGCAAAAGGCTGATGAATAAGACCCCTTTGACGTGTATTATAATTATGAATTAGTGAGTTTTTACGGAATAAATCTTTTAACGTGCATTCATGAGGCATAGACTGAAGTTTAAACATAAACAATACGCAATTGAACGACACAAGTCCACTTAGTGGTAACATTCTTAGTCGAAGGAACAATGGAGAACTTGGATGTCTATAATTAGAATTAGTAATAAGCCTTATTGTCTTCTTCTGCAATACTCTCAACTTTTCAAGATATGACTTAAAAGTGTTTCCCCAAGCAACATTACACTATGTCAAATAAGGAAGAATAATACTATTAAATAATGTTATCAGCCTTCTTTCAGGTAAAATAAATTTTAATCTAAAAATGACACCTACACTTCGGGACAACTTAGTGCATACAACATCTAAATGATTCTTCCAAGATAAATGCTAATCCATAGTTTACCCTAAGAACTGAACATTTTCACTAAGCGCAATATCATGGCCTCCAACATTAAGAAAAGTAATACCATCTGGAAGCTTTTTACCCTTTGAGCGAAAAATAACACATTTGGTCTTTCGAACATTCAACAATAACTTATTACAACAATACCATGCATACAGTTTCTGAATCTCTTGATTTGCATTTAGTAATAAATCTTCAGCCTTCTTATCAACCAGCAGCAAGCTGGTATCATTAGTAAACAGTGAGTATGAGAATAATGTTGATGAGTGTATTATATCATTTATATAGATCAGAAACAACAGGGGACCAAGAACATAACCCTGAGGTACACCATATTAAATGAAGCAAGTTGAGAATTAGTACCATTCACCACAACAAATTGTGTCCTGTCAAACAAATAGCTTTGGAACCAAGACAATGCTACACCACGTATTCTATAATGCTCAAGTTTCCTGAGGAGGATGCCATGGTCAATAGTATCAAACGCCTTAGATAGATCTAAGAATATCCCCAGACAATACTTGTGTCCATCAATAGCTTTTATGATAATACAATTATCAAGCGACTAAGAGCAATTTCTCCCAAAGCTCGCTCCCTACTCTCGCACGCATAGATGATATAGGCCTATACTTATGAAAGGTCTTGTCAGTCTTCCGTTATGAAAATGTGCTTATAATCCTTTCAGGATTGGGTTTTTACCTTTTTATAAGATGTAATTTATGCACTGCGACTTCACACA